AATGGATTTTCGTATAGCGAAAAGAAAAAAAAAAAAAGAACAGAAAAAAAGAAGAGGCAAGCCAGAAGTAGGTTGATAAATCAGAGAAGGCATCGCGGAAAAGAATACCGCTACACGGGGAAATCTGTGCTCCTCTGCAACTGGTTCATGCAAGCATGTATGTATTATACAAAAGTGTTCTTGTCATCGTTGTACGACATTTTTTCCGTTTTGACATATATCACACGTGAACGTAAACGGAAAAGTGTGAAAAGTGGGGATTTTCATGCTTCTCTCCTTTTTACGAAGCATTCAGCGGATTCGGGCAACTTTTATGAATTGCTATTACAGTCCGAACGAGGGTGTTTTTTATTAACATTTCAGTTGGTTAATGCTACAGTTATTCTGTATCACCGTTAGGTTGACGCGTATGGAAAATTTTGTCTACGTTGGGTTTTTTTCGGAAAATACGGTCCTCGGGTCTCTTTTGACCCGTCATCTTCTTATTTTTTTCAAATAATTTTTGCTGTTAGCAAGTTTACGTTCCTTTAATATTATGTTGAATGTTTGTTGTCTAGATTCGTATGGCGAAATTTTTATACGTAAAGTCTTTGGGTCGTTTCTAGACCGAAAACATTTTCCACGCGATTTCACGCACTTTTCCCAACGGCTAACCAATTTCGTTATTCCAAATTTTCTAAAAATTATGCGTTTTTTAATGAAAAAATTCTTCGAACGCTGCGTTTACAGTGTCTTTATACCGAGAGAATTTATTTGTTAGAAAAATTGTTCAGGTGTTCCAGGAAGTCTTTCACTACTCTTAACAATTCGAATGATTAATTTTTACAATAATTTCCGTACGAAATTTAGTCTATGAGGAAGTATACAATTTTCCAAAAATGTACTTTCGCCAATACCAAATATTACACAACGATGATACTTTGCAATAATTTCCGTACGAAATTTCCTAAAATTACTCCAGTCTATTAAAAAGTAGGGGAAGTTCCCCTAGCGCTGTACGCTTAAGGTTTTTCTTAAATAAATCTCTCTACCTGCGCACACGCGACTGAAACGCGTAGAAAACTTATTCTTATTCCTTTTATCCCCTCTAGGAGATACGCAGAATAACGGCTCGGCAGCGTTTCAATTATCGCAGATACAACTAATGTCCGATATTAGGTGCCCTTCGGCGTTAAGGGATCTCCCCCTATACAATTTTCTAAAAATGTACTTTCGCCAATACCACACATTACACAACGATGATCCTTTTGCTATTGCTAAAAATTCGACCGATTAATCGTGAGATGCAACAATTTCTCTACGAAATTTCTTGGAAAATGTACTTTCGCCAATACCAAATATCAGACAACAATATTTTTCGTATGTATTACTAAAAATTCGAACGATTAATCGTGAGATGCAACAATTTCTCTACGAAATTTCTTGAAAAATATACAATTTTCTGAAAATGTACTTTCGCCAATACCAAATATCAGACAAGAATAGTTTTCGTATGTATTACTAAAAATTCGACCGATTAATCGTGAGATGCAACAATTTCTCTACGAAATTTCTTAAAAAAAATACAATTTTCTAGAAATGTACTTTCGCCAATACCAAATATCAGACAAGAATAGTTTTCGTATGTATTACTAAAAATTCGACCGATTAATCGTGAGATGCAACAATTTCTCTACGAAATTTCTTAAAAAAAATACAATTTTCTAGAAATGTACTTTCGCCAATACCAAATATCAGACAAGAATAGTTTTCGTATGTATTACTAAAAATTCGACCGATTAATCGTGAGATGCAACAATTTCTCTACGAAATTTCTTAAAAAAAATACAATTTTCTAGAAATGTACTTTCGCCAATACCAAATATCAGACAAGAATAGTTTTCGTATGTATTACTAAAAATTCGACCGATTAATCGTGAGATGCAACAATTTCTCTACGAAATTTCTTAAAAAAAATACAATTTTCTAGAAATGTACTTTCGCCAATACCAAATATCAGACAAGAATAGTTTTCGTATGTATTACTAAAAATTCGACCGATTAATCGTGAGATGCAACAATTTCTCTACGAAATTTCTTAAAAAAAATACAATTTTCTAGAAATGTACTTTCGCCAATACCAAATATCAGACAAGAATAGTTTTCGTATGTATTACTAAAAATTCGACCGATTAATCGTGAGATGCAACAATTTCTCTACGAAATCTCTTGGAAAATGTACTTTCGCCAATACCAAATATCAGACAACAATATTTTTCGTATGTATTACTAAAAATTCGACCGATTAATCGTGAGATGCAACAATTTCTCTACGAAATTTCTTGAAAAATATACAATTTTCTAAAAATGTACTTTCGCCAATACCAAACATTACACAACGATGATCCTTTTACTATTGCTAAAAATTCGACCGATTAATCGTGAGATGCAACAATTTCTTGAAAAATATACAATTTTCTAAAAATGTACTTTCGCCAATACCAAATATCAGACACCAATATTTTTCGTATGTATTTCTAAAAATTCGAACGATTAATCGAAACACGCGAAAGCACCGTAACTTACAATATCTCGCTCAATATTTTTTTTTTTTTCTCCTTTCTCAAAGACAACGTAACACTTTACTCTTCCATTTGTTCGCGCCGTTGTCACTTTCAAGAGAGAAACGCCGCGTAATGACAACTAAGTAATGAACAGCCTGTACGTGCACATTGCGCGTGAAAAAATAATGAACGGCGTTCATGTACTCATTGATCCAACCTTCGAGAGAGGAATAGAGAAATATCAACGCGGTCTAAACAACGTTTCGACTTTCGTTTCGCCCCGGCTGTATGCCGTGATACGTCAGACAAAAAGGAACGTGTAATTTTTATTTCGAAACTCACTTACTCAATCTCTCTTTCTCCCTTTCGTGGCCAGGCGGGCGCACAATGTATTCAATTAAATTTCTTTATTCACGCACTATAAACCGCGAACGTCGTTTTAACGCCTTTAAAGACCTCTCTCCCCGTGGCGTTCAGCACGTTTTTTTTTTTTTTTTTTTTTTTCGTAAAAACAACGACGCGAAAATCGAGACCTGGTCCACTCTCGTCCGCGAAAATTCTGTCGAAATTCAAACGGGCACGTTCATTTCCGCCCCAGCCTTTTCACGTGTAACGCCGCGTCGTCGTCGTTCGAAAATCTATTTTCCGAAAAGCGTGCACAATGGCGATTAATTTGACTAATGAATCGATCGGCTGTTCATTTTACGATTGAACGAAACTAATCGAACGGGCAATTCCGACGAAATACCGCTATATGTAACGTGAAACGAATTACACCGATGAATAAAGGGATTTTTATTAATTTTTAGTGTGAAAGAAAAAAGAATTAACGTGTAAAAACACGATTTAAAAAAAAATGATCGTAAAGTGAAAATTCTGCTCGCGTTAAGAATAAAGAGTAATTTTAATTAAAGATATTGCAGAATTTATTTTTATTGAATATATATATATGGAGAATTGTATTGTCTCCGCGAACGCGAAATTCTAGCCACGGGAAAGAAATCAATCAGCAGGTCTTGGTAGCGCTACGTTTGACCGTTTGTATTTTTAAACCGGATGAATAAAAAAGAAGACTGAATGCTGAGGACGAGACGTGATGCTCTTAAAGTGTGCATTATTAAATGATGCCTGTACAATTGCATTCAGCTGGTGAAACACGGGAAAAGGGACAAAACGCGGCTCCATCGTCTTTCCTAAGGGGATGCTTTAGTAAGATCATCGTGTACACGTTTAAAAGAAGAAAACATATTTCGTACGCTTCGGCGACTTACGTCCCTCTGTGTCTAATAGAGAAACGCACGGCTTCAAAGGGAAGCCTACTTACGCGATGCACAAAGCGTTTATCTCCTTGTACGTCAAGTTAACAGATTTACAATTAACGAATTTCTATGAAACGAGACTGTGTTCAAGTGTAACCGTTAACTCAGTTCTTTCAAATATTACCGCCGTTACATATGACTTCCTCGTACGAACTCAATTGTACACGTATATTTGATTTGTGAACGTAACGTATACATGTATGTTTCCTTTTATTTACGGTTCGTTTCGAAACAACAAACTCATTTCAGATTCAACGTATATATTATTCGTTAAGCGACTGATTTGACACGTGAAACTAAAATGATATTTTGTATCGTGTAGTTTGTACGTTCAGGGAACAACTGTTGAACAACTCTCCAGTATCGTTCAAATCGTGCGTACCCTAACCTTAACAGAGACACGAAACTTCGAATCCCCTTACCTGATGAAAGTCGAATCTGCCGCAGGACTGGAGGGTCTTGGTGAGGAACTTGCGGTGGACGCGGTATTGGTCTCCTCCACGTCCATCATCATTCATACCGACAATGACGGATCAATGCTAACAACGGGAATAACAGGGAATTTTATGAACGTGAGCAGCGTAATTGGAATTACGGAAGGGATATCGTATGGAGGATGAACGATTTGTCGGACCCGCCGGCCTCTGAACGTCCGATCCCGCGGGGGCAGAAACCATAAAGTCAGGGAGCTTGACAAAGGGGTTGGGGGTTGGTTTCATGCGCCCGTCCACGAGCGCGGACTCACGGAAAACAACTGACAAACGACGTTACCCCCACCGTGGGCAACCACTCTCCGGCGCCTGCAACCCTGCGCCGCCGACACCTGCCAAAACAGGAATGGTTATCATTACGCAGGCGCCGCGCCGCCAAAGTACTCCCAGGATTTTTGTGAAATTGAAAAAAATAAAACGGAATCGGAGAAAAGCGCATACAACGTTCTGCTTGCAATTTAACTTTTTAACGAAAGTTCATCAACTTGATTCGTTACTGATATTATTTGAAGAATTATTCAACAAGTTGCTAATTATTTAAAAAAAACCTATATGTATATATATATATATGTGTGTGTGTGTAGAAAAAGGAAGATAGAAATGTTTTTTTCCTTTCACTTAAATATTTTTATTACTTTTTTTTTTTTTTAAACATCTGAAACAGTTTTTTCTCTAGAGGAATGATAATGCCGGGCGAATGTTTCTCCAACAAGTAGTGGAAACACCAGAGACGCTTCTGCATAGATCTGGAATAGTAGTAATGTAATGTATCAATTGATTTATGCAGTTACGTATGAGACAAAAAGTATTTTTACCTTAACTGGTTTTGCATCCATTCGAATTTTACCCCATGAGACGGCTTCGTCTGGACGAGCACCACTATCGCTTCCGTCGAATTCCGAAGACGTATTTATAAATACTGCGTAGTCAGCACCATTTCTCTATGATAGAAATTATTTTTAATTAGCCTACCATCGGCTCTTTTTCACGTTGATTTTATTACCATTAGGTTTGCATTACAAATGTGGTGCTTTATAACACCACCTCCAATGATAACCATGCCACTTTTCACTGCCTTCATAGCTATTGTATTCAATCGCCTAAGATCTGTAATACAGGAAATCGGAAATAATATTCTTGATATGTTTCTTAATCAAATTAATGTGAAAAATGGAAATTATATTTTATAACAAATTGATACCTGAAACTATATCTACAACTAAGCCTGGATTTCTAAAGGAATGAAAATACATCATATCACCAAGGCTACCATCTGTTAAAGCAGGACTAAACACTGGAATTTTATTTTTTGCAGCCCAATAATAAATTGATTCTTCGTTATTAATTTCTTCTCCCAGTCTTGTTATTATTTTAGATGGTGTCCAAAGTACACCCTAAAAATTGCACCTTTAAATACTTCATTTTTTGAAACAAGAAACGTTTTATTTCCTTCTTTTAAGTTATACCTTCTCTTTCTGTTCTGTCAACATTGCATCTAATTTAGGCATAACCCAATCCTCAAACAGACAGTAGTTATCATTAGGTACTAATAAATTTCCTGTCCTATTAATACCACGTTGTCTAAGACTTTTGCCTTCTAAATGGAAATCTCCTATATATGTTGGTGCTAAACATTTTATCAAATCTTCTTCCACACCACCTGCTGTAGTAACAATACAGTCCACCTGTAACATTAACCATTATTTAAACTATCTATAAAATCTAAAATTAATATTTTCAAATATTTCAACTTACCATTTTATGTTGTACAAGGAACCTTATAGTATCTCGAATTCCACATGAAGCCATATTAGATGTATATCCTAAAAATATTGTACAGGGAGTTCTTCTTTTTATAAAATCATCATCTTCTAAGATATCAACCTGATCAACTTTAAGAGGAACATTTCTAGCATCTATCATTCGTTGAATTTCATCCACTGCTAATCCAAAATTTCTTGCTTGAAATCCAGAATTTTTATATGCTTTAAGGAGAGCATGATAATCAATTCCTCTATTCCAGTCATATCCTAAAACATATTAGTATTATTTAGCATTTAATTATTAACCATTCCAAAACATAGTTGTCCTACATTATGAGACAGCTACACAACCTTTCACAATAGGTGTTCCAGATGGAATGGGAGAGCTATGTATTAATACAGCATTTTTAACAAGTTCTGGAACTTCGTCGTGTGAATTTTGTTTACTGTCATTCATTTTTATGCCAAATTTACTTTATTTTCAATTTGTGTTAGTTGTGTTATTCTTATTGCGGAATGTCTCTTACATGCACGGTGTTTGCAAAGAGACATAACCTAACATAAACATATAACGTGTAAACGATATTCGTAATACTTTTTCGATTAATGCACAAAGTATTAGATTACTATGTGTAATAGTACAGTTCATTATTAAATTATTTATTATATAAGAAATGTACAATTTTTTTACATCATCATTAGTTTCTATAAAAAACCTTAACAACATTATATACATAAATTGT